TCCCACAATTCTTGAATATTCTGCTCATTATTTCTTACCATCTTCACTGTGTGGTCAACATTCTTTTCAAGATTATATATTTTGTCTTAATTGTCTGAGGTTCTGTTTTCCAAGTTATCTAATCTTTTGGTGATGATTTCTATTGAGCTTTTAATTTGATTTATGTTTCTTTCATTTCAAGGATTTCTTTTTTGGGTTTTTTTCAAAACCTCTCTCCTTATTGAAGTAATTTTTTGCTTCCTGTATTTGCTTATGTAACAGTTTATCAAAATGATCTTTTGCTGCCTGCATTTACTCTCTTATATCATCCTTTAATTCACAGACCATTTTAGTTATGTACATCCTGAGCTTCTCCTCTGTAATTTTTTCTGTTGTACTAGCCATGGATTCTAATAATGTAATATCTTGGTTTGTTAGGGGCACTTTCTTCCTTTGTATTTTCATGTTGTTCATGGGTCTTCCCTTCTAGCACTGTGGATCTGAGGCATTACAGTTTTAACCCTAAGGCTTATAGTGTCCCTGCAGGTTTCTAAAACCTCTCCTTTAAGGGAGAGAACAGTGTGAATACATCCCAATACAAACAATATGCAGCCTTAAACCAAATAGTTGCTATTAAGATGTTTATAGTTTTGTCACAATATACAGAAATGGGAAGTTCAATTATTATCTACATTATAAACAGTAGGTTTGCACAAAGGTCTACAGTTTCTGATGGTGGACAATGAGAGAACTGGTGGTAAGGTGTAGGATGAGATGTTGAGAGGGTAGGGGGTGAGGATATAGAGTTATTAGATCTTAGAAAGTGTGAAAGAGAAATCTAAAGAAGTTGGTTAGTAGCAGGAGAAGAGAGAGAAAGTGATTTTGGGGAGACAAGTGGAAAGACAGTAGAGTACAAAAACCAAGCAAACATAAATATTAAGAAAAGTAAAAAATGTAAAAATAGGAGATAAAAGAATATACAATACCACGGTAATACACCATTCAGACATCTCAGTCCTCAGTAGCCTAATTCATAACAAGTACTTCGTTTCACAAATGTTGGGGATGTGAGGGTGGGAGGAGAGAGAGAGGGGGGAAAAATCTCAAAAAAAGATGCAAAGATTGTTTTGTTTTTTCTTTTGGAGATCAGTATCTTTCTAGCTTCCTTTCTCACCCAATAGGTGAATGAGGATGGTAAAGTTCTTAAGGTGGGAGGGTTGTTTTGGGGGGCATAGGCCCTGGAGGTAGAGTATAGTACTTGCTGGTCCCCTATGGGAGACTGCATCCCAAGGATCTCCTTTGGGGTCCATTCGTGTGATGTGGGCACCTGGCCTTACCTTCTTATATCGCCTATAGATCTCACAATTCCTGGTCTCTAATTTAGTCTCTAAACTGTGTCTCACTCACCCCCTCCCTTTCTACTTCCCAATCAGAAACCTTTCTCTTAAGAGGTCTTGTGGGCTGCGCTCTGGGGGCTGCACACCTGTTGCAGAGTGCTGTTTTATACTGGGCAGTTCAGGACTTCGTTTTGCCAGCTAGGATCAGCTGTGTAGCCACTGACACTGTGCCAAGTTAGCAGCTGCTAGGGAGAGGGTGCAGTTGGGGATTTTGGGTAACTTGATATTGTTTCTAAGCCCCAATCAGTATTCTAAGCTGGGAGTTGCCCCAACTAAAGATGGCGATGAAGGCATCCCAAAATGGAGGTGGCTGCTTTCAGCGATGGAGTGTCAGGTCCAGTGGGGCCAGGCAGTGGTGATGAGTAGCATATTCAGAGATGCAGCTCTGTGACATGCAGTATTGTAGCTTGTAGATGTCACAGGACCAAGTAAAGTGTCCCCAGGTGCAGGCTACCACATGTAGGGGACTGTGGCATGGTTGTAGTGCCACAAGACGGAGGGGACTGGAGGACCCCCATGTTGATAGATGGGGGTCCACGCGGGAATGGCAGCCAGAATTCCCACGTGGGCTGTGGCTGGGATTCCTGCACCAGTGAGCGGCCAAGAGTCCTGCACAGGTGCTAATGCCAGTGGTCCTACTGGGGCACCCGGAGGACCTGTGTGGACCTGTAATTTTTTAATCACAGGCATATTTTGTATTCTAAAGAAGTGAGAATAATCTCTAATAATCAAAGAATGTTATCATGCTAATTTTTTATAATATAGAGGTCTTCGTCTGTCATTTTCCAAGTTTGACATTAACATAGGTATAAAAATACTTTGTTTTCAAAATATACTTCACTTTCATCTTAATAATACTGAAAATAAAACTCTCTAAAGCTGTATGCAAGGATAGACTACTCCAGCACATAAAGTGAGAAAACTGTCACTGACATCATTATTACATCAGGTCAGTAATAATAAACACAAGTTTCTGGGGGAAGGTAAAAAGGTGAGGGAAGAATTACTCCTGGATTGGTGTGAGAGTCTCAGTAGAGTTCTAGTTTTATGTCTTAGTGTAGGTCCTCTGGGGAAAAGTTGGGAAGATAGTTGACTTCACAGACTTCCCTGCTGTTTCGTAATTAGATCAAATGTAATATCTGCCTGGTGGAAAGGAATCTTTTTTTTTAGCCTCCCCAAGAACTCCTATAAACACCCCATCATTTGGAATAGAAGAGAAAGGTTTTGTTTGAGTTGCTGCACATCATGTTAGTGTCTCATACACATAGTCCAGTGACTTTCCAGCTAAATCATTATGGAATTTAATAATTTAATAGTGCTGCAATTGTGCTGACATGGGTATGAAGTTGAACAAGAAGTCATGGGTTTGGTTATTCAATTGACAACTTTTGACTAAGCACCACCTGCTTTGTGATGTCTCTGGATATGCCCTAAGACCTCAGCATCATGTAACTCCTCTACTCCATGCAGCAAAAGCATTACCTCTTCCAAGAAATCATCCTTTTCTCCCTCCAAGTCTTCCAAACTTCCCCCTCAGTCTGGGAAAGAAAACCCTTCCCAGTGCTCCCAACATATCTGTGCAAATCAAGTAGTGCTTTCTTGCCTGGCTCCTCCTCAGTCTTAAGCTGCAAGAGGACACAAGCTAGTGGAAAGCTTCTTGGCTGACCCAGGAAGAATGAACCATATGAAAGGAGAATAAGACTAAAGACTAACCAAGATCTATAGGTCAGTCCAAGAAAGCAAGGTCTTTAGAGAGAATGAGAGGGGATCAAAGGTTACTTTGAATACAAAAAAAAAAAAAGAAAAGAAAGAAAGAAAGAAAAAGAAGAAGAAGAAAAAGAAAGAAAAAATTCACCTTCTTAGTTTGTATCCATCCCATTTATTGACTCTTGATTTTAATTCTTGTGCTATGGGAGACTTATTGAGTTGGGGCCTAATCTGACATGATGGAGATTTGGACCTACTTTTTCTTCTAATAGGAACAGTGTCTCTGGTTTAATTCCTAGGTCTTTGATCCTCTTTGAGTTAAATTTTGTGCATGGTGAGAGATAGGAGCTTAATTTCATTTTGTTGCATATGATTTCTACTTTTCCCAGCACCATTTGTTGAAGAGGCTATCTTTTCTCCAATGTATGTTTTTGGTGCCTTTCTCTAAGACAACTGTAGTTATGTGGGTTAGTCTCTGTGTTCTCTACTCTGTACCATTGGTCTACCATTCTATTTTGGTGCCAATATCATGCTGTTTTTGTTACTATTGCTCTGTAGTATTTGTTACTATTGCTCTCTGTAATATAATTTAAGGTCTGGTATTTGTCTAGATTTGGTCATATGTGAAAATGCCTGTGTACTCCCACAAAAATCAATATTTTTTTAATAAAAAGCAATGGGTTTATCTTTTGACCTTGTTTCATTTGTGCAAGTAATATTTTTATTTAGGAAATATCAAGTATTGAAAAAGACAAAATACTACTTCTTTACAAAAGTCATTCAAGAGGAAAAAAATGCTTCCACAGGAACAGATTCCTCTTCACACTCTCTTGTGTAATCACAAGAAAACCAATTGAGACCAATAAGTAAAGGAGTACTACCTCAACATGTGGTCCACAAGAGGAAGACTTCTTGTGTACTGTTTGTGATCAGTAAATGCAGAAAGTGAAAATGTTTAGAAATAGCATTGATACATCGTCCCACTATAGAAGCTGGCTACTCTTATTTCAGTTGGTTAGGGGACAGTTCAGATGATGTCACATTGAGGAGTCGCAAAGGGTTGGACCTGCTTACTGGTAATGCATAAGAGACCACATGCTGGCAGGTGAGAGAGGAGGAGACTGGTCCCTTGTTGCGGATAGTCTGGGAAGCACTGACAGTAAATTATACAGTAGTTTCACAATTTTATGTTGTCGGATAATTGATCTACCAATCTTCAATTTACACAAAATTCAGAAAAGTGGAAGCATCGAGTGTGTGGTATATACTTTGTATATTTTTTCAGATGGAAAACTGTAAAAACATTTCAGTTTCGTGACTATCAAACTTGTCTGGCTAGGCCAACTTTGGCGTTCACCGCTCATCCTAGGGAGAGCCCTGCCATCTCGTGGTGGAAGCTGTTAGGTGTAACAGAGAAGCGCTTATCAGTTCTGACTGCAAAAATACTTCTTTCAGTCCTTTTTTGAGGTCTTAGAGTTTGTGTGTTTCTCTGTCTCTCTCTCTCTCTCTCTCTCTCTCTCTCACACACACACACACACACACACACACCCCTTCCCGTTAAATCTATTTTAAACTTAAAATTCTATTTTATAACGCAATGGACTTTGGAGAAAGGAAAGAAAACTGGATTACTACTCTTTACACGGCGCAAATGTCTTGTTCGTGGTAAATGCCCAATCGCTGCCGTACGGGTGCATTTTGAATAACCCACTTTCTACATGGTAAGAGGGATGTTGGGAGATTTGAACCCCTCCAGAAGGAACCAAACATTCTCACAAGACAAAGAAGGACTGAAGTGAATCTGTGGATTTAAACATGCTAATTTTTCTGGCGCTTGAAGGCAAAGAAAGTCTCAGCGCATCCCGGAAGTAGTCATTCCGAGAGAGGGGCGGGCCGTGCCGGTAAACCACAACTCCCAGCATGCCCCGGGGCAGGCCGACTGCTGCGCAGAAGCGCGCGCGGGCGCTCACGGAACTTCAGCATGGCGGTGTTTGCAGATTTGGACATAAGAGCGGGTTCCGACCTGAAGGCTCTTCGCGGACTCGTGGAGACTGCCGCTCATCGTGAGTCTCCCTGGCCTCGCGGGTCGCAGCGCCTACCCCTCGCTCGATAGTTCTGCCAGTTCTCGTTCAGATCTCCTGGGGTCTCTGGGATGTCACTAGAAGCTGATGCTGTTACCCTAATCCCTGGTGTGGGAAACTCAAAAGATTCTAGAGGAATTTTAAGCAGTCCTGTTCCTTTTTTTTTTTTTTTTTTTTTGTAATATTGAGGGAACAGGCCCAAGGAGGGCAAGGGATTTTCGTAGGGCCCCATAGCTGATGTGTGGCAGATGCCAGGGCTGGACTCCTAATGTGCTTTTAATCAGTCCTTTCTGACTCTCAGTAAAGAGTCTAAGCAAGTTCTGGAGACTGGGGCACAGTCAGGGAGTATGGAGAGTCAGAGAATGGAGAGGACATAGGAGTTTTTAAAATTTGGAACAGTAATACTTAAGAGGGATGGTAGATTGGGCACAGGACATACGTGACAGGAGAGAATGGGAAACATGGCTAGAATGTCAGTGTTATTCATGTTTGAGTCAAAGGGAAGCTAAAGCCCAAGAAATGAGACTCTGTTTTAATTATTATAGTTTATCACGGGTTTTATCTCTCTTAGACTGTAAAGTATGGTTATAGAGGAGATCAAAGAATAAAGAGGTTGGTGCAATAACATCCATTCCTAAGAGAACAGTCTCAGGTCCTTGTGAGAGCTGATTATTGCTATTTCTCAGAAGTGACGCTAGAAACCATCACAATCCTCCTGTGTAGTGTAAGTCATCTTTAGATTGCTTATAATAATTAATATGATGCAAATGCTGGGTAAATAGTTGGTATATGCATTGGTTAGGACATAATTATAAGGGGGAAAAGTCTGCATAGTACAGTCACAGCCCATTACCTACCCCACCCCACCACCCCCTGAAAAATATTTTCTGACCATGGTTGGTTGAATCCAAAGATTCAACTGTATCCACAGAAAAAGGACTCTTTCAATTGCAGCTATTAATTAACATTTCCTCTCTGTACTTTGCTCATCAGTAGAATGAAGGGGGTAGACATAATTCCTGGAACCATTTAGCACTAATATTTTTTTTAGCAGTTTCTATAAAATAAATTTTCCTGGATGTAACTTCAAGTATTACCTTCTCAATGAATTTTTTCCTAATGTTGTCCCCTTAATGAATACATGAGCTTCTTTAGAAATGGACCATGTATTCTTCTGTTACCTTATGCCCAATATAGTCAATCAGCAGGTAGTGGTACATGACAGTTACTCAGTTAATGAGTGGAGTAAGCAAACTGAACATCTTTTTAAAAATACACACAGAAAAGAAACATTATAATGATTTCTTTAGAGAATCACCCAGTTTAAAATATGCTTGAAAGACATGTCATTTATGTGCAGTATTAGTCATTCTCTATTTCTTTTTTATTTTTAATGCTTTTATTATTGTCTTATATATTACAGTGGGGTTTATTTTGACATCACTATAAATGCATAAAATATAATTTGCTCCATTTTAATCTTCAGTACTTCTGCTTTTCCTTCCTTTTTCCTCCCCTGATATACTTCCTGTACTCTGTTGGTCTTCCTTCTATTTATTTAATGTTTCTTTTCTTTGGGGGGGGTGCCATTATAGTTATTCATAAAAGTGGAGTTCATCATGATATATTCATATGTGCACATTTCCTCCCTTTTCTAATCCCTCCTTTCTCCCTTTTGATCTCCTTCCCTGACTCCACTGTTCTCGCTTCTATCTTCTTGAGATCCCCCTTTTAAATTTCTAGCTCCCTCATATAATAGTAGTTTATTTAAAAATGAAATGAAAGGCTGGATGCGGTGGTGCATCCTGTAATCCCAGTGGCTCAGGAGGCTGAGGCTGGAGGATCACAAGTTCAAAGCCAGCCTCAACAACTTAGTGAGACCCTGTCTCAAATTAAAAAGGGTTGGCCCTGGGTTCAATCCCTGATACCTGGAAAAAAATATGAAATACAAGGTCATTTCAACTTATGAGTCAAAAGGCAAAAGACTATGTTTTAGTCTGTGGAAATTTTTAAACCCTAAAGAAGACAAAGCCCCCATTTTTAGTTTATGATGTTATATAAGAAACCAGAGATAAGCTTCAGATATAAGATATATGAATTTAAGAAAATACACCAAAGACTGATTGGGGGAATTACTCCTAAGATGCCAGATGAAGAGTACTCTAGGAGAAAGTTTTGTGGGAAAACAGTTTTCTTGACATTTCTGAAAAACAAGGACATTGTTTAATAACCAAATGATATCCTAAATGGTATAAAAAATTTTAGCATAGACTTGGGAGTGGTAAAGAAGAATGGGAAGGAAGTATGGTTGGTTGATTTGACTGGGTGAAAAGCAAAGACCAAAGTATAGGAATATTTTTGTTTTTAAATATTGCTTTCTCCAGGGGCTCTTTTCTGCCCCCACCCTGCAACCATGTTTCATTCTGCTGGGTTTTCCATAGAACCTTTCCTTAATGACAACAAAAAATTATTTACATATGATGACTTGTTTAATTGCCTTAATTCTCCAATGAAACATAGGATGAGAACTGTTTTATTTACCTTGTGTGCTCAGTGCTTGGCTTAGGGCCTGTCAAGTAGTGAAGGCTCCATAAATATGTGAAGGAGGAAGGAAAGAAGGAAGTTAGACAAACTGATGATAGGAAGACCACAATTTGGCATCACCATGCATTATTTTGAATATTAATAACTTGTCATCCCTTTGGTTTAGATAACTTAAAGATTAGAGTTATGATTTAGATGCATCTTAAGTAGACCAAATGTCCAGAGCAATGTTAACTGTGAGGAGGAAGGTAAAGCAAGCTGCTGGCCTCAAAGAATTCCCAATCTGCTGATGGTAGGCAGCTGAAAAGGAGAAGTGGGTGGTGGTGTGATGAAGTCATCACTCCCATCTGTCCTTAGGAGAGGGAGGAAATAGGGTGAAAAGCAAAAGAAATGAATGATAGTAAAGGTAATAGTGAAAGGTGTTAACTTGGTGTGATGAAAATGAACATAGGGACATGAAAGAGAGTGTTGATTAGAAAGAGCACAAAGTTAAAAGGCTTTAGTATCATGCCACCAATACGTCATAGTAGTGAAAGCCCTGACTATGTGACTAGCAGTGTTATAAAATACTTTTTGTATATTATCTCATTTAATTCTTATGATCAGCATATGAAATGAGTGCTGTTATTATCACTGTTTGACAGATGAAGAACCGAAACTACAATTAAGTAACTTATAAGAGGTAGTGCTTAGATTTGAAAGGAGACAGCTTAGATTTGAAAGGAGACAAAGTTCCCACCATAACTGCTTTGCTAAACTGCCTCCTTTTCTTTTCCTTTTTTCTTTTTTTATTTCCCAGTACTGAGATTCAAACCTGTGTGTCTGACCATGTGTTTGTGTTGCATAAATGAAGAGCTAATAGATGTTTCAAGGCAGTTTTTCATGAAAACTTATACAAGTTGAGAATCCCTCATCAAAAATGCTTGTAACCAGAGTGTTTTCAATTTGAGAAGTTTTCAGATTTTGAAATATTTGCATAGGCTTTACCAACAATCAAAAAGTTTTAGATTTTGGATTAGGGGTACTCAACCTATATTCTCTTCTCTTTTGTCCTCAGCTCTCAACCCCCATACCCTCTTAAAGAGCACAATGAATGGCATTATGCTTTTAAACTGTGACCCTCTCTCCCATTTCTACCTTCCAGCAGTAGTTCAGCATGTATAAACCCATCACCTACACCACGGACCTGCTCACAGAAGAGACCAACTTCTTTGTGATCAAGTTGGATCCCAGCAAAGTGTTTAAGAGCACTCCTAGTCTTGGCATAGAACCAGAATGGGCCTGTATGTATAGGAAAGAAAATACTTAAGTATTTCTGTTTTTCTTTTCAGTTGGATATTCAGTTGTTGCCATCAATCATGTTGTTGACTTTAAGGAAAAAAAACAGGTAAAATAAGATTTCTGAAGTTAGTAAGTTAGGAGATATTATTTATGTTCATCCTGGAATCATGGAAGCTGCAGATAAGCATTTGTCTTAAATGTACTGTCTTTGTGTACTATTATTTTATGTTAACAATTGAGCTGATGTTTATTCGTATAAAATGATTGAGATTTTTGTGAAGTATTTTGCCATGGTGTAAGTACAGAAAGTTGATTTGATGTTATTTAAGTCACTGTCAATAATGTTTAAAAGTGCACTGTTATCAACAAAACTGTTATTACAATATTTTATCTTTTATTGTCTTAAATTCTGAAGCACATTAGTAAATGTATATTTCTCTTTAGGCCAACAACTTTATCTTATAGATTACTTCTGCCTAAAAATTAGTTTTTGTCCCTTTTATTCACTGATGTTCTTAGCTGCTTCTCTGATCTTTTGTTTCCTTCCTTAAAAAAAAGAAGAGGTTATGTAGTCTCCTGAATACAAGAAATTAGCTTTCTTTCTTTAAAACAATGTATGTGAACCCCATGTCAAGTTTTCCATTTTGCATTGTACCTTTAACATGTACAATCTAAGATGACTGTTTGTCATTTGTTTTAGGAAATTGAGAAACCCATAGCTATTTCTGACCTCTTCCCAACTTTCCCAATTGTACAGGTAGGTTTTTTGTTGTTTAAGAAGTATAATATCCTGAAATAATCTTTTACTATTGATTTGGTACTTCTTTCTTCGTTAATCTTCCTTCCTAAAGTCCTACAACTTTTAAATTATCTCATTATATAGTTAGATATGCATACATCATATTTTTATCTTTCTGAATTATAAACTCAGAGAACTAGGCTTTATTGATCTTTTCTATTCCTTATAGCTAGTCCCTTTTAATGAGTTCTTTCTGCTGGTAAAGAGGAAAATCAGTTTTATTTTTATGCTTTTGATATTTTTATTTATAGGGAAAATCAAGACCAATTAAAATTCTAACGAGATTGACAATTATAGTTACCGATCCATCTCACTGCAATGTTTTGGTAAGTTAATTATTTTTTCCTTTTCTTTTGGCCTTGTAACCTGTATTGAATGGTAAACATTGTTGCATTTCATCTCACCCCATTTTTACATCTCCCCACCACATTCATGACACTTACCTGCTTTCCTTATTCTTAGAATTCACACAGTATAACATGTTATATGTTACTTGTGGTGAATGTGTAAAGATAACACAGTTAAGAATTCCATGTCAACTATTAGTCATTGAACTCATCATATGAACCAGACATGAAGTGGGTGCTGGGAATATTGCTGTGAATAACACAGACATGGTCCTTGAACTTATAGAGCTTATAAGTTTAATTGATAAGCACTGAACAATTAATTATTTCAGACGTGAGGAATACCTTTAAAGGGGAAGTGGCAAATAAAGGATGCTCTGGGAGTGTATAACCTTAATAACTTATTCAAACTGAGGCCAGAAGAATCAGTAAGGGTTACCTAGGAGCCAAGCAAGAAAGTGTGTTTCTGCAGACAGCATACAAATGCCCTAAAACAAAGGAAAACTGTGTTCTAGGAAGTGAGAAAAGACCTGAAGGACTGAGCCTTGAGAGCTGGCTACCTCCTAACAGGAGGCAGGGAGGTACAATGCAAACAGGCAGGGAGGCTTAGGTGACGATTCCAAGAACAGTGGGAAGTCCTTGAAGCCTTTAACCAAGAGAACAAGATTATGGGGTTTGCTTTACAGAGAATATATTAGAGGAAGTAAAGGAGAGGGGAATTTGAGAGGCACGAAGGAGGGAGGATTGAGACTCCCTGTTAAGAGTGTGATATGGGAAGAAGAGATCTAGAACAGTCCTGAGGAACTTCACCATTTAATAGTGAAACAGAGGATGAACCAAGATTGAAGTTGGAAAAGGAACTACCCTAGAAGTAGGAAGCAATGAGGAAAGAAAATGGAAAGTAGGAACAAAAGGTGAGTAGGTAGCATCAATATATCAGAGTAGTCAAGCAGGAGAAGGGCTTAAAAAAAGTCAGTTGGATTTATTCATGAGAAAGTCATTGGCAGTCTTAGCAGAAACCATTTCCATCAATATGATTGAGATAGAAGAAAATACAAATAGTGTGTGCTGCTGACTTTGCATAGGAATTTGACCCCTTTATATATATATATAAAGATTTTGTTAAATGGGAGAGATTCATGTGATAAGAAAGATCATCACGTGTGAGAGAGAGAAAATGAATCCCTGAGAAGGTGAGCTGTTTTATCTTTAGCAAGAACTGACACTTCCATGGTGGAACAGGAATGATGAAGGACAGACCGACTCACTTTATAACACTTGACAAAAGAACTTGTGAGAAGCCCAGTTTTGATATTTTATACAGCTATAAGGTAACATTTTGGTTCTCTAGGTCCAGATGGACATAAATAGAACTGACTTTTGATAGGACGGGAAGACTTTGATTTACTCTTGTTATCATGAACATCCTAGTGGCTCCTTTTTGTCCCCCATCCCAAGTGGAAATGGGCAAGTGGAGAACAGAATCCTGATCCTAGCTTTTTCCAGAACCTTTAACCTGCCCTATCTTAGCCCAAGTTTGTCCAGTATGCCCTCTTACCTGCTTAAGCAAGGCACTGGCTGCTTCTCTTAAACTTTGGTCTAACTTGTATTATGCTTTGCCTTTTCATGAAGAAGAGGTTGTAAAATTTTAAAAGGTACCAACACACAAAGAAGAGCTATCACACTTTATTCTAGCATTCAGAGATTGTACATTTGAATATATATTTTCCAATCTTTTCACGTTTAGATACATACATTATAGGTTTGAGACTTTCTTTTATAAACAATAATGCTGTCTTTACTGATGTATTCTCCTGTCCTAGAACTCTCAGGTGTTTATTTGTATTTATATTTTTTGATGCTATTCTTTTTGTATCACATACATTGCATAGTACACATGAACTTAGTCTTGTATATTTTTTGTCTTGGAAAAAAAAAAGGTGAATTCCATTGAGGACAAATTTATGTCCTAGTGATTTTGTATCCATATAGTAGGTGCTCAGTGAATGTCTGGCAAGCTCATTCACTAGATTGTAAGATCAAATAGTGGATACAGTGCTGTATGTCAGACACAATGTTTGGTCTACAGATAGGGAAGACCACAATTTAGCATTGCCGTGCCTTATTTTGAATATTAATAACTTGTCATTCCATTGGTTTAGATAACTTAAAGATTAGAGTTATGATTTAGATTCATCTTTAATAAACCAAATGTCCAAAGCAATGTTAACTGGTGTACATTTAAAGCATAACAAGTGTAAGAAGGAGGAGGATGATTAGTGGGTTAGGTGTTAGTACCTAATTCTCATGTGCTTTTCTGCCAACATACAAAGCAAAATAGAAAAATCAGTAGCACATTAGAAGTGTAATGTGATTGAAATGTAAGTGTAGCTAGATCACTGTGCAGAATTCCATGTATGTATATTTTTTGTTACTGTATTAATAACATTCTTCTGTCACTAGAGGGCTACTTCTTCAAGAGTCCGGCTGTATGATATTGTTGCAGTTTTTCCAAAGACAGAAAAACTATTTCATGTAAGTAACAATTAAGTAAAAGAAACGAATTCCATTTAACAAATTTGATATATGCCTTTGCAGGTGACATGTTTTATCCCATCTGAAAACTGTTAGGATTTTTCATTTACAGTTGAGCTCTAGAATTTCAGAGGTATATTTGAGGGGATGTGTGGTTTTTTGTTTTGTGTGTTGTTTTATCTAGACAGTTTATGGGCTCAGTTTGAAAGAGCCCATCGAGTTTTTCCCTGTTGATTTTTTTTTTTTTGGTACCAGGGATTGAACCCAGGGGCACTTAATCCCTGAGCCACATTCCAAGCCCTTTTTATTTTTTATTTTGAGACAAAGTCTCACTAAGTTGCTTAGGGCCTCTCTAAGTTGCTGATGCTTGCCTTGAACTTGAGATCCTCCTGCCTCAGCCTCTCCCGTTGCTGGGATTATAGGCATGTGACATCATGACTGACTCTCCTGTTTCTTTCTTTTTGCTACATTCATTCAAAACTTCTCTTGGATAAATATTGGTCCATCACCCTCTAGCTCTAAAATCACTTGAGTTTCTGCCCTTCTTATTCAACTGTTGCCGAAAATGGAAGAAAAGGACATGAAAGCTACACCCTCTGTTTCAGCTTCCACCTTTGCATGCTCTGAGGTTCTGCCCATATGCCAGTATGATTGTCAGCCTTTAGTCTTCCAGAAATTCTTCATAATCTATCATCTGCTAATATGATTTCTTTTGCTATTCTGAGAGCCTTTATGAATTGAATTCCTTTTGACTTTTAAAATTGCCATTTTGGTACCTTTGCAGGAAAGAAAGGAGCTTAACATGTATACTCATTTTGTCAACTTGAGATAGATGACCCTGGGCATTTTCAATTATTATAGTAAAGGAAAAAAAATCAACTGTAATGTCGTTTTTCAGGAATATGTTTCAATGTGTAAAATGAGGTATAACTATTTTTAGAAAGTTTTGAAAGTTATCTTTATCTATGCTCAAAAAAGGATCCATCTGCCAGAGGTATATCTGCCAAAGGGGGAAAAAAAAATACTGGTCTTAGATGTTTTAATTTTACCTCTGTTCTTTTTTAAGCAAAATTTGTTCTAAAATTGTAATTTTGTTGTTGTTGTTGTTGTTTGTCTTAACTTTATCTAATAGATGGAGCTATTGACTAGAGTCTGATGTGTGATAGGTTTAGTTTTTAAGGAACACTGTGAATTCTTAATTATATAAATGGAGGGAAACACCAAAACTTATCCATAGAAACCTATTCTCTTTTGGTAGCATTTTTATAAAATGCAAAATTATAGTAATTCTCAATAACTTTGTTTCAGTTAAAGGGATGAGTAGAGTAGTTTTTAGACATCAAAGATCTCTATGGAAGTTTTAAATCAGTCATGTTTCATCCTTACCAGTAGGTTTACAGTTGAGTCTGGATATTTGATTTTTCAGGTTCCACAAGTAAAGTGTGATTCATTACTGAAATCACTGTATAAAGAGGACCATGGACTTTGCAAAATTGTTAAGCAACTGCAACTTAGTTTTGTTATTAAGTAGTAACTCAGCCATGGCATAGACTAAAAAAGTTGATCATATACCATGTTTTTTGTTTTATAATTGATTTCTTGAATTAATTTTGAAGATCATATAATTTATGTTTCCATGACCCTTTACTAGTGATTAGGGAAACAAAATAAGTAACATTTTGGCTAGAAAAAATGTACTTATAGAACCTTCCAAAGACTTTTATGTGTTTATTTCTTTAACTTATGCAGCAATCTTAGGATAATTAGGCTGAGTATTTACTACTATCCCCTTTTTATAGAAGTGAAAACTGAGACTTAAGCTAAATGATTTGCTATAAATACCCCAGCAAGTATGTAATAGAGGTAGGACTTAGATTTTAGATTATAAATATATATGGCAGTTTTAACTTATTCATTTATCTTATTACTTTTTTTTTTCTCAGACTATTCAAATTTGAACTTGCTGAAAAAATGCTTTATGGTGATGGATGGAACAGTCAGAAATATTTTGGAAATGGAAGATATATATAAAATATAAAAAATTCACACAGTAATTGTTTGGAATTGACTGATATTCCAAAAGTTACATGAGAACAGTTTTTAAAATTGGAATATCTCCATATAAATCATACCCATTCTTCAGTTGAAGTTAGAATTCTTCCTATTTCCTGGAGAAAATAATTTAAAAAGATATCTTCCTTCTCATTATAAAGGTTTTGTTAAGTTTTTCATGGTTTATAGTCAGGTCAGGTGCAAGCAGTATGTTGTTTGATAGGTTGCTTTCCATAAGTGATTTGTTTTGTTTGCAAGTTTATTACCCAGAATTTTAATAGATATTCAGATAGGTTTGATATTCTAAAAGTTAGGTCTCTAATATGAGTCATAAAGTGTTTAGATTTTATACTAGAAAGTATTGATATATATGTGTACTTGTATATGTACATTTAATAAGTAATTACTTATTAAGTAATTAAAAATAAATAAAAATGTATATATACAAGTACACGTATACATCAATATTTTCTGGTATAAAATCTAAACACTTTAAATAGCATCATTTCCACAGGAAATAGCATACTGTTTTCCACAGCATGGAAGATGTCTCATAAAAAAGAAACTCTGTTCCCTTAGCTTCTCCATGGGATAAGGCAAAGATTAAAGATCATCACAGAGAATGGGTCTACTGGCCATGCCTCCTTGGGATCAGGGACAACCGTGGAATATTACAGAGAGACAGAGAGTTGCCTAGTACGTTTAGGAGCTTCCAAGTCATTTATTCCCATTTAAGATTAAAGTAACTGAGCAGGATAGAGGAAAACTCAGGTTATTTACTCCAGTAGACTCTGAACTGCTTAGATTAGGCACCCTATCAGTTTAAAGAAATATTGAGCCTACTTTTCCAGTATGTGTCTGTTTCTTGAAAGTATTTCATGTTCCAATATGCCAGTGCGCTTTGCAAAATATACATATAAAACAAATTTTAGGAAAGTGAATTAAGAAATAAATGAAAATAGAACTACTGTTTTTTCCTCTGCTCCTCAAATCTATGCCTTCTCTTTACAGGGCACTGTTATAGAGTAACATTCAAGGCCATTTTCTCAGGATATGGTCTTCTAGCTTCAGATTTTCCTGTGATATTTGTTAAAATGCATATCGTTAGGCTCAACTTATTGAATGAATCATGGGAGATGGGGGCCTGGTAATCTTCACTTTTAGTACATTTTTTAAGGGGAGTTTTGTGACCTCTAACATTGAGAACCACTGTTCACGATCATCTCTTTTCCTTTGTAAGCCTGACTCTCCCTGGTATACTGTTAATCAAAAATTCCAAAGTATATTATCCCAACATCCATGAAAGAAGCTTACGGGCTACAGTGCACTACGAACCCCTACCCTCCTATTCCCTTTGTGTCATAAAGGCAAAGATGTATGTATTTTTATGGAAATATGTTTTCTTTCTCGTAGGAGTCCCTGGTGCACGTGCATGTGTGCACAAACACACAAAATGTATATGTATGTGTATACACACACACACACACACACACTTCACATATATGTATGTGGCTAATTAATATGAATTCATATGTAATCTATCATTTTTCAGAGAAAGCTATTAGAAGATTCTTTTTTTATCATTTATTTTATTTTTTTAATAATTTTTATTGTTGGTTGTTCAAAACATTACATAGTTCTTGATATATCATATTTCACATTTTGATTCAAGTGGGTTATGAACTCCCATTTTTACCCCGTATACAGATTGCAGAATCACATCGGTTACACATCCACTGATTTACATATTGCCATACTAGTGTCTTTTGTATTCTGCTGCCTTTCCTATCCTCTGCTATCCCCCCTCCCCTCCCCTCTTCTCTATCTACCCCATCTACTGTAATTCATTTCTCCCCCTTGTTTTTTTTTTTTTCCCTTTCCCCTCACTTCCTCTTGTATGTAATTTTGTATAACCCTAAGGGTCTCCTTCCATTTCCATGCAATTTCCCTTCTCTTTCCCTTTCCCTCCCACCTCTCATCCCTGTTTAATGTTAATCTTCTTCTCATGCTCTTCTTCCCTACTCTGTTCTTAGTTACTCTCCTTATATCAAAGAAGACATTTGGCATTTGTTTTTTAGGGATTGGCTAGCTTCACTTAGCATAATCTGCTCTAATGCCATCCATTTCCCTGCAAATTCTATGATTTTGTCATTTTTTAATGCAGAGTAATACTCCATTGTGTATAAATGCCACATTTTTTTTATCCATTCGTCTATTGAAGGGCATCTAGGTTGGTTCCACAGTCGCTATTGTGAATTGTGCTGCTATGAACATCAATTTAGCAGTGTCCTCTTTTTAGGTCTTTAGGGAATAGACCAAGAAGGGGAATAGCTGGGTCAAATGGTGGTTCCATTCCCAGCTTTCCAAGAAATCTCCATACTGCTTTTCAAATTGGCCGCACCAATTTGCAGTCCCACCAGCAATGTGCAAGTGTACCCTTTTCCCCACATCCTCGCCAGCACTTGTTGTTGTTTGACTTCATAATGGCTGCCAATCTTACTGGAGTGAGATGGTATCTTAGGGTGGTTTTGATTTGCATTTCTCTGACTGCTAGAGATGGTGAGCATTTTTTCATGTACTTGTTGATTGATTGTATGTCCTCCTCTGAGAAGTGTCTGTTCAGGTCCTTGGCCCATTTGTTGATTGGGTTATTTGATTTCTTATTGTTTAATTTTTTGAGTTCTTTGTATACTCTGGATATTAGGGCTCTATCTGAAGTGTGAGGAGTAAAGATTTGTTCCCAGGATGTAGGCTCCCTATTTACCTCTCTTATTGTTTCTTTTGCTGAGAAAAAACTTTTTAGTTTGAGTAAGTCCCATTTGTTGATTCTAGTTATTAACTCTTGTGCTATGGGTGTCCTATTGAGGAATTTGGAGCCCGACCCCACAGTATGTAGATCGTAGCCAACTTTTTCTTCTATCAGACGCCGTGTCTCTGATTTGATATCA